GGGGGGGGGTGAAAGTTTACAGGCAAGAAGTCGATTGTAAGAACTGAATTTTGCTAGAAGACTAAGACCAAGGCTAGACTTAGGGGCATAAAATGTAAGGTTTAGGGGAGGTAGCAAATGGTCCAATAGCACAACTTTCCACCACAAACTCCGCTCTTCCTGGCTGGGTCACAGACTTGAACAGTCTTCAAAACCATTCAAAGGGTTTGGTTGGTTGTTTGTGTGCAGGAATCTGCCTTGAATCTATCTGAACATAATGTTCAGTATAATCCAGGGGCCAGTAAACTATAACCTTTCTTCCAAATAAAGCCGGTTGCTTGCTTTTGTAAATAAATTCTTCTTGGAGCACAGCCATGCCCATTCATTACCTATTGTCTATGGATGTGCCATCTGACAGCAGAGAGGAGTAGCTGCAGTCTAGACAGCATGGCCCACAACGTGAAACAGTTATTATCTGGCCTTTTCCAAAAAAAGTTCGCCAGCTCTCATATGAACCATATTTTCTCTCAATCTATTTGTTTAATTTTTAAAAAATAAGAAGTCTGTGGATAAAATGGTCCTGATTACTCCTATTTAGGAAGAGTTTGGAGTCTGCATTCTAATTTTTTAAAATAAATTCTCTTTTCCCTTCCCCCTGCTGTGGGGCTCTTGCTTTTTGCTTGACACAAATGGGACTCTCACTCCAAGCTATTAATCTAAATAGAGAAACCATAATTCCACGCAGAAGACACATATTTAAATGCCTATCTTTTTTTTTTTTTTTCTTCCTTTTCCTAATTTTCAGGATCAGAGAGAGTCTGCTCTAAATGAAATCTTTCAAAAAGGCTATCAAATGTAAGATAATCTACAAGTTTTTAAAATTTAGATTATGTCATATCTGTGCCTAATATGAAAGAAAAATAAATCTCTCTTGCCCAGAGAGCAAGGAAACATAATAACCATCATTATTATTATTATTATTATTATTATTACCTAAGAAAAGAAAGACTGACTATACGTTGTTTTAGGCTCTCGGAAGTCTAAGTACTTCCATGCAGCTGGTGATGAACAGAAAATAAAACATACCATCATTATTTTTGTCCAGACTCTTAAATGCCAATTTCATTTTTTTCTCATGGTCTTTAAGGTACTTCATAAATTCTTCAAAATCCAGCTTCCCATCTTTGTTGGTATCACCCGTAGTAAAAATTTTCTACAAAGAAAGAAAAAGACAGAGGTGTTAGCCCTGCAGAGTTACTCATGAAGCATCCACAGCAAGGCAGGTAACGGCCCTGAAGGCGGCAGTGGGGCCCAGGTCAAGCTCGGGGGCATGTACATGTGGCTTCACCCTCTCTGCCCAAGGCCTGGCCTCCGGTGCTCGAGTCCCAACCCCTCTCTGAGCACAGCCCCCAGGAGGCCCATCTTCCCTTTCTCCTAGGAGGAGGTGACCCCTATGTCCTTCAGGCCTTCCTAAAGCTCAAGGATGTCCAGGGTCCCGTCTTCCTCGTGGTCCATGTACCAAAAGAGCTCCTCATGTCCATCGGGGTGGTCTGGAGGCGGGGCCGTCCATGCAGCGGCCCCCCCGAGGGCTTCCCGGGGGGTGGAAGTGAGAGAGGGGAGGGGTCTCTGCCCACCTCAGTCCCGACGGCTGGCACCTAGGACAGCAGCATCCTCTGGGGCGCAGGGCGCACAGCCTCTCCAAGGCCAGGGCGCCTCGCCGCGCAACGGCTCCGGGGGGAGGCGCGCGGGGGGCCCCTGGAGC